GAACCTCATTTCATTAGTGCTTCGCCACCTGCCATTTATTGTCACTGCAGACCGGGTAGGTATGTACTCTATGGAGTTCTAATGCCCCATCTGGTAGACCCCAGTGATAAACCATCTGTGTGTGCATATGTTTATGTTTCCGGCCCGGCTGGTGGTCAGGGTTATGCTTGGATAAATAAAGGCAAATAAGTCCGAGACATTTCTATACCAAGTGATCCCCAAAACACTGTCACCCCTCTCTGCTATATTAATATACATGGGCATCGCCGATCTGGTAGTGGAACAGTTAAGTTCCGTTTCGCCCTGGAGCTCACAATTAGAGCCCGCGCAGACAGTCACATAGCGACTAATGAGATAGGATGGAATGGACCCGACAAAGCAAAGGGAGACTGGAATGGCCATTTTTGGCTTGTTAACCGCCATCAGCCAGTCATACCTAATCTCCGGTCTCCATTCGTTTTGTTGGATCCATTCCATCCTACCTCATTAGTCGTTATGTGACTGTCTGCGCGGGCTCTAATTGTGAGCTCCAGGGCGAAACGGAACTTAACTGTTCTTCTTCTAGATCGGCGAAGCACATATATACAGTATGACGACTGCTGCAAGCTAAATAACGCAATTTGCGAAAGACTGGTAATCACCCGCAAAGCAATATTCAGTTGGGTTGCAATACTGATTATCGTGTAGTCTAATCTGAAGTCTTTTCAGTCACGTCAGGGTGCCAGCTCTTTAATAGGATTCTTTCTGATCGCTTATAACGTGTAGATTCTGAAAAATCGTTACTTAAATAGTATGCATTTTATGATGCATTTTGACTGCCTTTATAGATTCAAATATATTTTATAGAAAACATGCACGAAAGTATTCTTTCCTGTGTTCGTTTGGTAGAAAATTACGCCTTTTTAAATTTTATACTTGAAGAAATGATATTCTTCGGTCTAAGAACACGATTGTGAGCTGTTCATTCATAATACATTGTATCCATCTATTTATTAATGTTGCCTATATGTATACAGCATGATCCACATCTATTATAATTCTCAAAATTTTGCAAACGGTTTGAAGAACAGGTCACATATATGTGTGACCTCTTCTTCAAACCGTTGTCTAAAACGTTTAAACCCTCAACATAATGTACACAGCATGCTGTTCGGAAACCTTTAATTCAGGTGTAGTAGCCGGCAGATTTCAAAGTTATTCGGCAATTAAGAAACTTTTTAAAAACCGAAAAATGTGCTTTCTTTAAATATAACATTTAAAGAAGGCGTAATTTTCTACCAAACGAACACAGGAAAAAATATTTTCGTGCATGTTTTCTATAAAATATATTTGAATCTATAAAGGCAGTCGAAATTCAGGATAAAAATGCCTACTATTTAAGTAGCCTTTTTTTCAGAATTGACATTTTATAAACGGTCAGAAAAAAGCTCATTAAAGAACCGGCATCCTGACGTGACTAAAAAGGTTTGATATTAGACTGCACGATATTCAGTATTACAACCTTACCTAATGTTGGTTTGCGAATGATTACTAGTCTCTCGTAAATTATGGCATTTTGTTTGCAGCACTCGCCATCCTGTATATAGAGTATATATATATATATATAT